CCTTCTGGGCACATTTCACATTTCACTCCTCCCTCATGGCCCAGCCAGGTTTCAGTAATACATGCCAGGTCTGCCCCCTCGTCTAATTTTAGGTCCTGAACGAGGGGAGCTTTATGAATAACAGACCTGGCATTTAGCAACAGCAGCCTGAGACCAGGGCCCTGAGAACTCTTGCCATCTGGTCCTGGAGTGGAGCTTGTAGGGCCGGAAGGGGGGATCGCTGTAACGTAGCGAACCCTCCTTCCCCAGCAATGGCTAGCCCTATAGCGCCCGTCGAACCTGCCTCTCCCAACAATGACCGGAATGTACCGGCCCATCCCCGCACCCGTCGGCCCCACTTCCCCCCCGTAGCCTCCGTTCTCCCCGGCAGGCCATTTAAACCACACATGCTGGGACGAGAGGCGAGTCCACGCCCCCATCCACTTCTGCTTCTGCACTCAGTGGAGGGGGCACCAGGTCGCACTCTCAATCCCCTCATACACACAGGCCAACCATTCTCCACATACATACCCCACAAAAATAAGGCTAAAATGTACAATAAAAACAGATAAAATTTAAAATTTAAGTCTAAACACATGGGAACATTCTCTCAGCCATCCATACCAACATGCACTCCTACACTCAACAAACAAAGATGGGCGCCGCTCTTAAGCCGTCAGGCAGTTGGCGCAGCTTGGAAATAAATAAGTCAATAATAGGACAAGAGAGGAAATCTTTACGCTCGGGGGCTTCTCCTCCGCTGGATCAAGTAGAAGGGACAAAGTTCTACAGTTTAAAGTAGGTGGGGGGGTTAATCCCGGTCGAAGGGGGAGAGGGCAAATTATTAGCACGTGTCCAACCTAATGGTTGGACACGTGCAACCATTAGCTCAGAATGTTATAAATGTCTGCACTAAATCGTATTTACAGATCATAATGGCAGGACTCAGACAATATTTTAACTCAAACAAGTCATAAGATGGTTTAGAATGTTATGTGAGACCAGCTTGCTTTGTGCAATAATTTTCTTCCACCTGATAAAGAAGATAAGGAAGTTGAGATTCTTGTTAAAAATGACTTACCCAAGAAAAGGCAATGCAGGTATGATACATAGGAGAAGAACGGGGAACAGTGGCTTTATATCTGTTCAGCATCACCAAATTGGCAAGACCATTAAGGAATGAAGCAAAGGCAGAAGCAGGCTCCTGAAAAAACAGGAAACGAGAAAAGGGCCACTACGGGCAAGGCAAGGAGGGGAAAGAGGAGAAAATGATAAAAAGTATTATCAAATGGAAATGAGATTATCAGCATATTTTCCTATGATTGCTTAAATCAAATCCTAAAGTAGGTGGAAAAGAGAAACTGCAGTTCAGATTTTTTTTCCAAATGCTCCAGAAATAACCGAGATCTTTTGCCTTTTTCTTTTGACCAAGTTCTTCATTTGAAATTGCACAGCTAATTTCTGAAATAAGTAATACTTTGGTCTTAGGTATGGATGTTCAGTGAGCTGTGTTTGTCTCTTGTTCACCTATTACACTCCCAAACCAGAGCAAACTAACTGGATAAACTACGGTAGTAGAAATTGCCCTTGAAATGCAATTTCAGGCAGTGTTTTGGGAAGAGAAAAAAAAATCTCATTCTTGACCCCAATGGTTTGAAGATTTCGGAAGCTCTGTTTAGGTTGCCATGTATTCTATGCACATTGTGATTGCCAAGAAATAGTTGCAATTAGCTTAACAGTTTGTCCTTTTTCTGGTGCTTACAGGCTGGAAATACGTAAAGGACTGATACAGACTACCAAAAAATTTGCACAGTCTCACCTTTTTGCTTCCTCTACTATTTCCTACTAGTGTATCAAAAAGGAAATGGTTCCCTGCTGTCTGGCATATACAGATTTTGCTTGCTCAAAACCGCAGAGTGAAGGCTTGGATCCCACATAACATAACTAGTAAATGATCTACTGAAAAAATGTCAGCCCAAGTAGATAAACCGAGTTAAATGGACAAAGAACTGAATCAACCTGTACAGGTTAGCCAATCTGGCTTCATAAACAAGGCTTACCTTTCCATGAAACTGAGGCACTTTGGATCCCTCCTGGAGGTAAAGTCCCACAGTCAGCCACATACATTCATATTTGCAATCATCTCTGCAGGTCCACCCTAGAATATAAAAGAGGGTAAACCTAGTAAAATTACAGTAAGTGATACATTTGGCTAACACTTGATAGCAGTGTATTACTGCAATAATTCTAAAGAAATGATATGAAGATACTCAGATTTGCATAGCATATTTTATTTCATTAAAAACAATCATTTTTAAGGTGTGGTGACTTGCTTCATTCTGATTTTATATTGTTCTTGCCAGGTTTCTGTGGCTGAAACTAACGTGTCTCATGTTCCTTGCTTTTATTTTTAAGTTTCCACCACACTTATTGTCAAACGGGTAAGCCCAAAACAGGCTTACATGTTTGACAACAATGGAAACTTAAATCCAAACATCCTTTTAGAATCATGATCTATGGATCTAACTGATATCCAGTATGGATTTCTTAGAAATAAATGCTTATTCAAAAAAATTGAGTCTGTCGGGATATTTAATATTTGGAAAAAGGCAATATTTTATTGATTGATTAGTGCTATAACTAATAAAAAAATAAAACAAAAATAAATAAGGATATAAGTCCAAGGTAAAATATGAAAAGTGCATTTATAAAATACCTGTGTGTTAAATACACACACACACAAAAACCATTCAGGTAAATACATTGCCTTTATAGTGTCTTTTGGTCAACTGCCTTGGCAATAAGCTTAGAAGTCGGCTCATGATGTATAGGTTAGAAACCAGGAGGAAATGGGACAATCTGCAATTCGGATCCCAATAGGCTCTTCCTTCAAGTACGGATGTTAAGTATCTAAGCATTAGAGTGGCATAGAGTTGACCATCAAACCAAACATGAAAATATCTTCAGTGGCTGGGACACCACATATACATGTCTTCTCATGTTATGGCAGGTGGTGGAAGTGCCCATATTAGACCATGGAATCCAACAACTCAAATCTGGCTCTAGTAAAGGCCCTTCTAGAGTCAAACACAATGTGGGTCAAACACATTGACTGGCATTTTTCAAACTGAAAAATAATCTTGTTCTTAGCCAACCAACTTAAAGAACTACTGGTATTTGTGGCTCATAACTCCCTATCATTTTGAGTGCTGACATCTTTGCTTGTGAGACAGTTGAGAGTAAATAAAAGGGGGGGAAACAAAGGCTTGTGAAAAATGCTTGCATTTTGTACTCCCTGGACTCGAATGCTTTCTGGTGGGCGCACAACAGCACTTGGAAATAAAACAACCAAATCTGGATGCCAAGGTTCCAATCACCACAAATGGTCACAAAGAGTTAGATAGATTTTTGTGGTCCCTGTTTGGCAAACACTGTCCAGGCATGTAGAGCAGTGTGCTATCAGTATACTGATTACATCCAGGTCTATTTCTCTTTAACATCAGGTAATAATGGGGGATTCCAAATGTTTATCTGAAGTCAGTAATAAACTAGATGAGGAACAACACATTGAAAGTGAATCTAGACTAGATGAAGAGGTTCCTTGTCACAATCACAATTTGAGAAGTGGTAATTCTCCTTGTCCTGTATAGGAATAGGAAAAATTCCATTTCTCCAAAAGGAGCAGATACAGCTGGGAAATATTTACGCATCTGGGCCTCTCTTCAGGCAACAGTCAGGGACAACGTTTATGTTATTTATGTTTAAGGACAAATTATATGATATCCCATCTGAACAAAACTCTGCCACTGTGACAAAAGAGCTGCTAAAACATAAAGTTGTATTTTCCAATATAGCAGTGATGGCGAACTGTGCATGTGTGTGCAACTCTCCCCCCTCCCGGCACATGTGCGTATGATCCAGATTGTTTTTGAACTTCCGATTGGCCGATTGGAGCTGTTTTCCGCCCTCCCCAGGCAAAAAACGCTAGGGAGGATGTCCGGAGAGCCTCGGGGGNTAATTAAATGCCATAATTTATCTTTGGCTCGGAGTGTGCTTTGGTGTGGAACGAGGGGGGTCAGAACAATACTGGACTTGAAAAACATCTGAAAAAGTCCAGATAATTCATTATGTTTAGACTGCTATCAAGCTGGTCAGCCACCATTAATCACCTGATCCCCAAATGTTGGGACATTCTCATATTTTTGCAATGGGACTGTCAGAGATCTACCAGCAGAAGCCCACCCAGAAAAAAAGTATGAAGAAGGAAAAAGCATGCAAAATAGGCTGACCTGTAGAAAAGGATATTGACAGGGATAGTACTGATATGCCAGATGGCATGGGCATCAAAGACCCAGAACAGGGGTGGAAAATCCAGGAGTTCCAGAAGAGCCAAGGCCTGGAGAAGCAGGACAACGGCCACACACTTCCAGACATAGGGCAGGCGTTGCTGGTTCTGCATACACCAACCCAGCCACCAGAAGAGATTGAGAAGGCCTGCAAGGCACAGAACAACACTTTGTGTTAATATGCACTTTTACTACTCATTGATCACAGCAGAAACAAGGAGCTTTTTGTTGTTACGGTTTCAATATCACCAGAGCCCTGATCGCATTGCTCCCTCCTCAGCACTAAATGCTGAGTATATATCCCATTTGTCCATAGCAGAAAGGCACAGAGAGGGTGGAAAAGAAAGGAAAGGAAAGGGAAAGGGAAAGGAAAAGGGAAGGAAAGGAAAAGAAAAGGAAAGTTTGGGAAAAGGCAAGCAGGAAAGAAAAAAGTTTCATAAGCCAGTAAGAATGTTCAACATTTAGAAAAGAAATACTGAAACAAATTAGCTAAAGCTATTATACATAAATAAAATAAAAATATTGATTCCTCGAGTCTCACCAATTGCCACATTGGCAGCCATATTGTAACCATAATCAAAGCGCACAAGGGTCAGATAGGAAACATGGCAGGCCAGGAAAAGGAGCAGGAAACCCCCAAAGGCAGTGGCAAAAGCCGGACGTTTCAGCCCTAGAGTTCTGCAAATAAAAAAGCATATGAAGTTGAAGATATTTCAAAGAACTGCCTCATTTCATACAGGCCATTTTCTATCCCTAGTTTAGACTAAACAGAAAAAGAAATATTTTTTCTCAATACAGATTACTTACAGCTATAGAAGAAAATCATACATTAATTTAAATAAGAAAATTGTATTCTAGCCTTTGACAACTTTCCATCCCCAAGATGCTACCATCCCCACTTTTTCCTTCAGGAAAAGGGTACATTTCCCCCCCTAACTAACCCTTTGAAGTTGGAGATTTGGGGGGAGCTATTTAGGGAAGACTTTTAGAAAACTGATATAGGGAGTAATTGTGGGGATTAGAAATTGTCATGACTGTAACTATGTTTTTTAGGAAAGTCACTGACTATTCCAGTGAGCCTTAGTGCAGATTTATTAAGAAGGTAACTGTCCAGTTAGGGATTTTTATATTTTGATAAATATTCCTCAAGTACTGAATTGATTGATGAATGTTCTTAGACTGACGAATACAAGCCATTCAGAGTCTGGACTGGACTAGGAAACAGATTGCAATAAATAACGTGTGATTAGAGCTTGCTTATTGATTGCATATACTGTAAATATATGGGCTTTCATTGAAAAAACATTTCTTATCATGTCTCACCATTTCCTACAGATAGCATGCTATGGCAATGTATTGCTAGAAGCTTTCTTGACAGATAAATTATGTTTTTCTTTCTCTAAATTCTTTTCTTTTACCCAAACTGACCCCCTTCAAATATTTTGGAGCTTCCTCTTCCAAGAACTCTAGTCAACATAGATCTATATGATTAAGAATATGGGGAGCTGTGCTCCCAACATACAAAAAGGACATGAACTTGGGAAGGATACTCTAGAGAAATAGAAGGGAAATTCATAAATTCAGAATTGGACATAAGAAAATATATGACCTGCATCAGTTGAACTAATTTTTACATTAACTAATCAAATTCTACACCACTTTCCAAGTAATAAGACATCTTAAAACGACAGAGAGACATTTTAATCAAATAACCGTAATGAAAATGAAGACAAAACCACTGAAAGATTATGTGAACTTTGGTCTTATGTAGCAACTTACCTGACACAACACAAGTACACAGAGTAAAGGATGACAGCTGATGCACAGAAATAGTCCATTTTCTACGAGAGGAGAAATTGAATTAGAGAGGCGGGCCAGATCTTGTCCAATGTGCATGCCATCTGAAAAACAACGCTATGATATCACAGTACAAAAGCTCACCTCAGTCAGATTTGTTTCTCGGGTATGAAAAACCATGGACCAGAACCAGGCATTTAAAGACACCTGAAGGAAAAGTGCAAGAAAAAATTGGTCTGAGCATAGATTCAATCAACAAAGCTGCAGCTGTGGCACAGAGGAAATGAAGGAAATAGTCCACTCTTTTAAGTGCCTATGTGGCTATCAAATGGTATTTGATTATATCAGGGGTGTCCAACCTTGGCAATGTTATGGCTTGTGAACTTCAACTCCCAGAATTCCCCAACTAGCATTGACGTCCATAAATCTTAAAGTTGCTAAGGTTGGACAGCCCTGGATTACATCTACAAACCTGAATAGATTATTGATTCAAAAATGAAGACAACTGGAAAGGAAATCTCAAATCCCCTTTTCTTTCTTGCCTAGAGATTAATGTTTGGAAAGGAGTTTAAAAAACTGAATATCTTCTTGTCCAAATTTCTTTTTTCTATGTAGCTGGTTGGCTTAGACAAACTATGCTCTCTGAATCCCAGCTTCTCACACACAATCAAATGATAACATTAAGTCTGTCAAATATGCTGAATGAAAATAGATACTAATTTCAAATGAGGCACAAGGGAAGTCATCTAAAGGCCAAAGATTGACTACTCTTCTCCTGAAAGCTCTTAGGTTGCTGGGGCTATGATGTCTCAAACCTCTTAAGAGGTTGGGACAGTATTTAGGAAAGAAAGTCTGAGAGTTGTTTATGTGACAAGCCTAAAAAAATACCTCATGTGCTTTCTTTATCCCTTCACTTTCTGATTGGTATAGCAGCACTCTGGTATCCGTATATCCAATATGTACATACAAGTTATTTACATTATTTTTCCTTTTCTTTTTATGTGCTTATCTATTTTATACAGTATGCTATTATTATAATTACATCACTATGTTTTTTACATTTCTGTGACCTCTTAATTTACTTCAGCCTTTTTGATCTTTACTTCTATTCTCCAACCAATTATACCGTGTGTTCCAAATTCCATTTCTCCTCTTTCTTTTATTTCCATTGTTAGCCTATCCATCTCCGCACATCCTAACACTCTTTTTAATCACCATTCCATCAGAGGGCATGCTATTGTTTTTCCAGCTCTGAGCAAATGTGATTCATCCTCTTTTGTACTACCTTCAATGACATTTCTTAAAATAATTTCCTTTCTTTTAGCTTGTCTATAAGCTGTTAAGAAGCTTCCTTTTGCAATTGCCTGAATTCACACAACACTCTGAAGCATAAGTGCAAAATCTTAAGCACCCCCACCTCCCCATCATAATCTGTTAGATCAATATTCAACCTTTTAGATCTACCTTTTCTCCAGGAAGTAAAAGATCTTCCATGGGGATCTTCTTTGTTTTATTCCCACCCACCCCACCCCCCAAACCCAACAACTTGTAAGAAAGCTTGGACTGGGATTTTGTGAACAGCAAAATATTGCTCCATACAACAGGATGGATTTGAACTCAGGTCTTTCCAGTTATGCTATATTGTTATGTTTAAGTGTATTATGGTCACCCTTTCCAACAACTTGACCTCTACACACAGTCTCTGTGTAGCATAGCCCACAAAGTTCTCTAAATTTCTAATAGTCACTCTTTGTGATTAAAAGAAAAAAGTGTGTTGGAAAATAGCATGCTTAATTTTAATTACATTGGAATTGAGTCAAATCATATTTCCTGTTTTCATACCTTACTTTTTGGAGTATCCCTTCCAGACTCAAACTTTAAACTTTTAAACTTTAATAGAATTTGTACGCCGCCCACTCCCTAGGGACTCTGGGCGACTCACAACAAATAAAAATATTTAAAAACATTTAAAATTATAGAATTAAAATCAACACAACATCCATTACATCAAATGGGGCTGGAATAGTCAACAGCCCCAGGCCTGCCGGAACAGCCAGGTCTTGGTCGCTTTACGGAAGGCCGGGAGAGTGGTGAGGGTCCAGATCTCAGCAGGTAGTTCGTTCCACAAGGCCGGTGCAGCTACAGAGAAGGCCCTCCCTCGGGGTGCCGCCAACCGGCATTGTCCAGTCGACAGCACCCAGAGGAGGCGCAACCTGTGTGATCTTATTGGTCGTTGGGAGGTAAATGGCAGGAGGTGGTCTCTCAGGTAGCCAGGTCCAAAATAAGAATTAGGGCTTATTTTCAGAAAAGCACA